TTTAATGAAGAACTTTGACTGTCCTTTGGTGGAGGGGTTACGCTTCACTAGGGGAAACGCATCTGTCTGGGCTGCCCGGATTCCTCAGAACTACCAGGAGGAAAAGCTAAGTCAGCTGATCTGCAGAGACTGAAGCCACCCCTCCCGCTAGAGACCCAGGCTCAGGCTGGAGTTGTAGTTCCTGCACTGAAGCCCCACCTGATGGGTCAGGGTCAGGCCTGAAGAGACGTGCTGGCCACAGTCTGTCACAGCTGATGTGTTGGGCTATGTAGGACACCTCTTGGGACCAAGTCAACCATCCTCCCTGGCTCCAGCAGGGAAAAAGTGCAGCCTGGAGCTATAGAGATGGCTGCTGCTCTTCCCCTACCCAGGGAGCTAGGCAGTTATCAGTCCCAATGTTGGGTGCTGCCCCTCCCGAAAGGAGTTCAAACAGTTTAGACAGCAGGCAGCTGCAACTATGCTGCTAGTTGCCCTTTCCCCCAGGAACTTAAGCAGATTCTAGCTGAGAGGCTATTGAGAATCTGCACAACTCCAGGATTGGTACCCCAGGCCCCAGTGGCGTGGGTTCATGAGTAGAATCTTCTGATCCATGGGTTGCACAGTTCCGTGGAAAAGGCATGATTTCCCTGGTGGGGTAGCATGCTCACTCACCACCTCCTTGGTTGGGGGGTGCGGACTCATATTTAGGGTTTTCTAGGCATACGATCATACCATTGGCAACAGCACTAATGGACTTTCTCCTTTCCAATTTGGATGCCCTATGTTTCTTTCCCTTATTGCTCTGGCTAGGACTTCTAGTACTATGTTGAATAGAAGTGATGAGAGTGGGCATCTTTGTCTTGTTCCACTTCTCAGTGAGAATGCTTTCAAGTTTCTTTCAAGTCTACTGTGAAATGGACACCACAGAAATATGAAAGATCATTCAAGACTACCGTGAACGCCTCTATGCACACAAACTGGAACATTTAGGAGATATGGAGAAATTGCTGGAAGAACCTTCTTGGAAGTATATAATCCTCCACAATACGGAAATGAAGTACATATGGAAATGAAACATGTTTTTCAATTGTTTCTGCTATTCATTGCTAATTTCATTCCATTGTAGTTGGAAAACATACTTTGTATTTTTTCTAGCCTTTTAATATCATTGGGGTTTATGACCTAGCATATGGTCTATCATAGAGAATGTTCCAATGACACTTGGAAATAATTTTCTTTTTTTGTTGTTGTTGGGCTGAGTGTTGCATAGACATCTGTTAGGTGCAGTTAATTTACAGTGTTGATCAAGTCTTTATTTCCTTGTTGATCTTCTGTCTAGTTGTTCTACCCATTATTGAAAGTGGTGTATTGAATTCTCCAATTACTGTTGTTGAATTATATATTTCTGTCTTCATTTCCATGAGTTTCCTTCATGTATTGCGGCACATATATGTTTGTAATTGTTATATCTTCTTCATAGATTGATCCACTTGCCATTATAAAATGTCTCACTTTAGTAAGACTTTTTGACTTAAACTGTTTTTTAAGAGACGGAATCTTGCTATGTTTCTCAGGCTGGTCTTGAGCTCTTGACTTCAGGCAGTTCTACCTCAGCCTTCCAAAGTGGTGAGATAACAGTCATGAGCAACCAGGTCAGTGTAAACTCTATTTTAATATTTAAAAGGCATTTTATATTTTAAGCTAATGTATAGCCATTCTGTTTTTCCTGTGGTTCCTGATTGCATATCTTTTCCCATCTTCTTGCTTTCAACCTTGTTGTATCTTTGAATCAAGTAGGTTTTCTGTAGAATGCATATGAATGGATCATGTTTTTACCCACTCTGACAGTCTCTGCCTTTTGATTGAATTGTTTTATGCACTCACACTTAATGTTATGATTGATATCATTAGATTTATGTCTGCCATTTTACTTTTTGTTTTCTGTGTGTTCCGTGTCCTTTTGTTCCTTTATTTTCCTTTACCACTTCCTTTTCCATTAGGTGGATATTTTCTCATGTTGCATTTTAATAATTTTTTCACTCTATTTTTGCAGGTATATTTTAGTGGTTGCTCTATAGTCTACCTCATACATCTTATCAGAATCAGCTTCAGATTTATAACAACTTAAGCCCAGTGATATATAGAAAAATGATTTCTATAGAATTCTATTATTTTCTTTTTGTGGTATTATTGTTACAGATATAACATCTATTAATCCTGATAATCCATGGTTATAATTTATCTGCCTTCTGTAGCAATTTTCTTAGTAATTCAACTTTGCCTCCATCCAGTTCCTTTATGCTGTAATTGACAAACATATTATACATATATTTCTATATGCTATAGCCTCAACAATATATCATATACATATTTTATATAATTGGTGTTTAAGTTATAAGAAAACACAAGAAAATATGCATTTATATTGTCATATTTAATAGATATATGTAAAATATTACATGGAGATTATATCAATATATGTAATTTTTTACATATTTACACACATCTATACCGTCACATTTTCATTCTTTTCCACCGTTCTTTGCTTTTTGTGTGTGTGGATTCAAGTTATCATCTGAGGTAACTTACTTTCAACCTAAAGAAATTTCTTTAGTAGTTTTTGTAAGATAGGTCTGCTAGCAAAAAATTCTCTTTGTTTTTGTTTACCTGAGATAATCTTGATTTGGCCTTCATTTTTTTAAAGATACTTTTGCTGAATATTAGACTTTTATTTGAAGGGTTTTTTCTTCAACCATTTTGAATATTATCCAACTGTCTTAGAGCCTCCTTAGTCTCTGTTGAGAAGTCTGTTGTTCCTATTATTAGACTTCCCTTGTAAGTAAAAAATCTTTATTTGCTGATTTCAAGATTTTCTCCTTGTCTTTGCCTTTTGGTCTTTTTACTGTTTGTATTTATTCTGCTTAAAGTTTGTTGAGTTTCTTATATGTAGGTTAATTTCTTAAAGAAATTTGCCAAGTTTTCAGCCATTCTTTGAAAAATTTTTTTCCTGATTTTTCTCTCTTCTCTCCTTCAGCACTTCCACTCCGTGTGTGCTGGTATGCTTGACGGTGCTCCACATTTTTCTGAGTCTCTGTTCATTTTTCTTCATTCTTTCTCTTCCTCTCTTTTTCAACTTACATAATTGATATCAATTCAAGCTTGCTATTCTTTTTTTCTGCTAGTTTAAAACTACTATTCAGCCCCACTAATAAAATGTTCATTTCGGTTATTGTACATTTTGACTGTAGGGTTTCTATTTAGCTCTTTTTTATATGTTCTATCTTTTTATTGATATTCTCCATTTGACATGACATTGTCACTATACCTTCCTTTACTCCTTTAATCATGCTCTCTCTTAGTTTTGTGAAAGTATTTTTAATGGTTACTTTGAGATCTTTTCAATGAAAGCTGACAGGTAGTTTCTCATAGCTAGTTTCCCTTGCCTGATTTTCCTCACATGTGGATCATACTTTGTTTCTTTTCATGGTTCACAAATGTTGTTGGAATATGGACATTTTAGGTAATTTCTTGTAACAACTCCGGGTACTAGTCTTCCCTAATGCGGCTGGCTATTGTTATCTACTTGTTTGTTTAGTTCCCACAGTCACAGGGAACTGTCAGTAGTATTGGGAAGAGATCTTACTCTCTTTCCCTGACCACATCCAGCTGTTTTACATATGCTACATATTTTTAAATATTTTACATATATGTATATTTCTTTATTTTTTTATTTTTTAAACATTTTATTCCATACACATTAAGCTTTTGAAGAAAAAAGGCACACAATAGTATTTTAATCTTTAGTATGTGTTAAATGTGTTTGATACAAAATATTGATCAAACTAGTCCTCCAAAAATAATTATGCCGTTATCTCAATGTGCAATTTCTTGAATAATGAAGACTTTACCTGCTAATATAGAATGCAACCATATTAACTGATTAAGTTCCACCTGTTTTTGTGTCTGTGAGGTTTCTACTGATGTGTTCATTCCAACATTACTATCGTATTGCTTTAGAATTCTTAGTGTTTGATAGAGCAAGCATCGCCTTGTTACTCTTTCATTCAACATTTTTTCCTGGCTTATCTACATACTTATTTTTGGGTGAAATTTGGAACAGTTTTATTTCTTTAAAACCCTGTTATAATTTTGATATCCAGTAGATTAAACTTTCAATTAATTCAAAAGAACATATAGCTTTGCAACATTTGTCTTCATATTGGAAACCTTGATATGTTTATCAATTTATTTTTCACTTTGTGCCTCACTGGAGAATTTGAAATTTTTTTCCGATTCTTGTTAACATCTCAGTGCCATGATTTATTTGTTGACAGGGGGGAAGAGATTGTTTTGCATTGTATTTGGACATTTTTCCTGATTATTGTTAAATATAACAACAAGGGCAACATTTCTGAGTGCTAATTGTATGCCAGCTTCTTGTGTTAGGCACTTTATTACTTAATTTTGCCCCACCCCACAACTGATGTTTCACATGAAGAAACTGAGTCTTAAACAACTCTGGTACTCCACCTGAGGTTTCACAGCGAGTAATGGCAGTGCTTACTATCTTACTAGCTGTGAAAGGCTTGATTTCAAGTACTCTGAACTCTCTTTATTTCTAATAGTCTTTCAATTGATAGTCCTACATTTTCCAGATAGATCATCATATCCACAAATTGTTCGTACTCCTTTCAAATATTTTTATTTTCTCCCTTTTATTTTGAACTGCTTCTTATACTGCATATATCTGTACTAAATATTATTTTAAAACATATACATAAGATAACATACTAATCACTAAACACTTCAAGAGTAGTATGACATAATTGAAAATAAGAATTACACATTACTCCTTTAACATTGAGTATACCAGCTTTGAAGTTACAGAAATAATTACATCGCATAAAAACTTTTTTTTACTTTCTTATTTTCAAAAATTATAAAATTGGGTGTAAGATAGTTTTTCTTAATTCTAAGAAAATGTTGATTTTGCTTATCTTCATGTTTTTATTCAATTAAGGACATTTGGTAAATATTTGTTGGTGTGAATGCTGCAGAGAGTTGGGGAAATGGATGGAGGTAACCAGAGTAAAGGTTCAGATTTCCTACTCCTGGGGATGTCGGAGAGTCCTGAGCAGCAGCGGATCCTGCTTTGGATGTTCCTGTCCATGTACCTGGTCACGGTGGTGGGAAATGTGCTCATCATCCTGGCCATCAGCTCTGATTCCCGCCTGCACACGCCTATGTACTTCTTCCTGGCCAACCTCTCCTTCACTGACCTCTTCTTTGTCACCAACACAATCCCCAAGATGCTGGTGAACCTCCAGTCCCAGAACAAAGCCATCTCCTATGCAGGGTGTCTGACGCAGCTCTACTTCCTGGTCTCCTTGGTGGCCCTGGACAACCTCATCCTGGCTGTGATGGCATATGATCGCTATGTGGCCATCTGCTGCCCCCTCCACTACACCACAGCCATGAGCCCTAAGCTCTGTATCTTACTCCTTTCCTTGTGTTGGGTCCTATCTGTTCTCTATGGCCTAATACATACCCTCCTCATGACCAGAGTGACGTTCTGTGGGTCACGAAAAATCCACTACATCTTCTGTGAGATGTATGTATTGCTGAGGCTGGCATGTTCCAATATCCACGTCAACCACACAGTACTGATTGCCACGGGCTGCTTTATCTTCCTCATTCCCTTTGGATTCATGATCATTTCCCATGTGTTGATTGTCAGAGCCATCCTCAGAATACCCTCAGTCTCTAAGAAATACAAAGCCTTCTCCACCTGTGCCTCCCATTTGGGTGTGGTCTCCCTCTTCTATGGGACACTTTGTATGGTATACCTAAAGCCCCTCCATACCTACTCTGTGAAGGACTCAGTAGCCACAGTGATGTATGCTGTGGTGACCCCTATGATGAACCCTTTCATCTACAGCCTGAGGAACAAGGACATGCATGGGGCTCTGGGAAGACTCCTAGATAATCACTTTCAGAGGCTTACATGAAGGCAATTTGGAAAGACAGCTTTAAAGTGGAGACTGGGAATATCCTTCACGCTATGTAAGAGATTGCCCTATGTGTTATACAACAGCGACTGGGATATAGCTCCAGCTCAGAGAGAGTATATATACATGTGGTGATAAAAAAGACTTATTTGTAACCTGGTGTCCTCCAGGTCTCATCAGCCTTGGCTATAAGTAAGGTCACACTAACACCAATATTAGAATGTTGCAGGGTCAAATTATTCAATGTACTTGACCGTAGGACTACATTCTTGGTCTTATCTGACTATAACCAGATAAAACCTAGAGACGTCTGTCATCTAGCACACATCCAAAGTAAAGAAAGTAAATAGTAGCGGATAAGAAAGTTAGTCACTTGGCTGTGGTGATTTAAAAGAGATTGCAATCATATATATTTGAATCAGCTGAGCCAGTACTTTACATAGACTTTGACGGGGGTGGAGGGTGGGCAGGGAGGAGTTCAATTCATTTGACATTCATACAGTCAATCAACTCATTCTATTTATAATGAATGTCTACAGAGGCCTCAAACTGGGTTACAAACATGAGGTTATAATCTACTGGGGGAAGTACATAAATTTACATTAAACATAAATGGACATAACTCATCAATTAAAAGGCAATGTTTAACATACTGATTAAAAAATAATATACATAGATATTTAAAGAGACATCCTGAAAGCACAGGAATATACAACACCTGAAATTAAAAAGAGGAACAGACATATTTGGAAAATACTAAATATTTTAAGTGAAATATTGCTGCAATGACATCAGGTAAAAGGGACTTCAAAACAGAGGTGAAAGGAGTGATGTCAACAAGATGGTGGAACAGACAGTTACATTTCTCATCCGCCAACATACAGACTAATTTATCAACCATCCACATATGAAAATACCTTTGTGAGAGGTCCAGAATCCAAATGAAAGTTTACAGCACCCTGGGAGTGCCCAGAAGTTAAAAACAACAACAACAACAACAAAACACTGTATTGGACATTGTAGAAAAAAACTCTTATGTTACCTGAATCACCCTTCACCCAAGCCAGCAGAGAACAGCACAAAGAGAGATCCCCTCATCTCATGTGTTCTTCCATAAGTAAAAAAGAAAATAAAACATATATACAATTTCTCCAGCCTTTCAGGATGCTAACCAAGAGGACCACTTCTATCATGCCTCACTAAGATTATGGAAGGAATCAACATGGGCAGAACGCTCTGAGTAGCTAAGAACAAAAACAAAAAAATAAGAAAATGGTTGGGAGCTCTTAATAGTCAGTGTGTGTATTTCAACATCTGGAACCTGGCACCCTACAGTGGGCCTGTGCATGCTGCCCAGAAGCTGGCCCAACCACCCACATTCCCAGGCACCAGGCCTGCCTACCCATAGACCCTGCCAACTGGCTAGCCCAGAATATCTGGCTAAGATGACTGGTGAAGAACATTTTCTATCAAATTGGACTTTACCTATCAAAACCAGCCTGTAAAGACTCAAAGAGATGAAGGCTTCTTCAAATGTGCAAATACAAATGTGAAGCTACAGGAAGCACAAGGAATCAGGGAAACATAACAACATCAAAGGAACAAAACAAAGGTTCAGTAACCATCAAAGAAATGGAGGACTATGAACTGCCTGACAAAGAATTCAAGTAATCATTTGAATGATTACTTGACAAAAACACAGGTGACCTACACAAAAACACAGGTAAACTACTAAACAAAATCAGGAAATCAATACATAAATAAAATGTAAATTTTGATGGCGGATGAGAGTGAGACAGCAGTGAAGCTGCCGGCACCTCCACTGCTGCAGATGATTGAAGGGAACAGGAATGGCCATGAGCGCTGCAGCAATTGTGAGAATGAGGAGGACAACAGCTACAACCAGGGTGGTTTGAGTCCAACCAATGACACTGGAGCCAAAAAGAAGAAAGAAACAAAAAGGCAGTGAGATAGATTCAACCCAGAATCAGCATGTGAAGACGAACTCTTTGCCAGCAGAGAGGATCCAGGAAATACTGGCTATTGAGCTGTTCTCAGTGGGTCAGGGACCTGCCATAACCACAGCTAAGGCTAGCAAGTGAAGCTACCAGTTCTGGGAATATGCAGTCCGTCCCCAAGCTGGGCAGAGTGGTGAACACCCATGGCCCCTTGGAGCCTGACAAGGACAGCATCCACTAGAAACCCTACACCCTGTCCCAGGGCTTCACCTGGGATGCCTTGGACCTGGGTGACCATGGTGTACTGAAAAAAACTATACACCCTCCTGAATGAGAACTATGTGGAAGATGATGACAGCATGTTTCAATTTTATTATTCCCTGGAGTTTCTTTTGTGGGCTCTCCAGCCACCTGGCTGGCTCCCCCAGTGGCACTGTGGGGTTTGAGTGTTCTCAAGTTGGAAATTGGTTGGGTTCATGAGCACCATACCAGCAAACATCCATATCTATGACACAGAGAAGATAGTGAAGATCAACTTCCTGTGTGTCCACAAAAAGCTGTGTCCCAGGCTCCAGTCCTGATCCCAGAGATCACCAGGCAGGTTCACCTGGAGAGCATCTTCCAAGCTGTTTACACTGCTGGGGTGGTACTACCAAAGCCTGTTGGCACCTGCAGGTATTGGCATCCATCTCTAAACCCAAGGAAGCTGATTGACGTGAAGTTCTCCCACCTGAGCAGAAATATGACCATGCAGCACATCATGAAGCTCTACCAACTGCCAGACTCCCAAGACAGCTGGGCTGCAACCAATGGAAAAAAAAAAGGACATTCCAGTAGTGCACCAGCTCTTCACCAGGTACATGAAGCAGTTTCACCTCATGCCAGTCATGAGCCAGGAGGAGGTGGAGCACTCGTTCTATCCCCGGAATATCATCGACACTTTCATGGTGGAGAATGGTAACAGAGAAGTGATGGATTTCCTGAGCTTTTATATGCTGCCCTCCACCATCATGAACCATCCAACCCACAAGAGTTTCAAAGCTACTTATTCTCTCTACAAGGTTCACACCCAGACTCCTCTTCTAGGCCTCAGGAAGGATGCCCTTGTCCTTCCCAAAATGAAAGGACTTGATGTGTTCAGTGCACTGGATCTCACAGAGAACAAAACCTTCCTGGAGAAGCTCAAGTTTGGCATAGGGCATGCCAACCTGCAGTATTACCTCCACACTTGGAAATGCCCCAGCGTGGGGGCAGAGAAGGTTAGGCTGGTGCTACAACAATGAGTCACTAGTGACATTCTGGATAAAGCTACTGAAAAGTTGAACCAGGAAATGGAACACCACCACTGTTGGTCCAATTTTCACACAGGTGAGAATCCCTGGCAAAGGGAGCAGAACTGAACCAGCTTTACCAAACCATCAGCAAACTTGACAATTGTATTGCAATGGCATGGGTTTCATGATGTCATCTCTGGTCGTGTCTTTTGTTTTTCCAGTTAATCACAGCCTCATGCAGCCATGATCAAGGGAATGCAACTGTTGAAAACTAGCTCATGATTGGTGTATTATAGAGTTAACAGGTGAATAATTAAAGTGTGTGTGTGTGTGTGTATACTTTTAAAAAGAATAGAGCAGAAATAAATGAAACAGAAGATAATACCCAAAGTAGACAAAACTAAACATTGTTTTTTGGAAAAAAATGTGAAAAAATTAAACCCATAGCTAAGATAATTTTTAAAAATATGAATACTCAACAAAATCAGGAGGGGCAATATTTCTATTCTCTATGGCCATGGAAATAAAAAAAAGGTCAGAAAGAATTATTATAAACAATTGTAATCCAATAAATTGGACAACTTATAAGAAACTGAAAAATTTCTAGAAACATACAATCTTTCAACCTGAATAAGAAATAGAAAGCCTGGATGGTCTAATAACAAATAAGAAGATTGGATCAATAATTTAAAAACAAACTTTCAAACAAAAAAAAAGCCATAAACAAATGGCTTCACAGGTAATTGCTAACAAATATCTAAAGAAGAATTAATACACAAACTTCTTAAATTCTTCCAAAAATAGCAGGAAACACTTCCAAATTCATTTAATGATACCAGCATCACCCTACCCAAGCCAGACAAAGACACCACAAGAAAGAAAAACATAGACCAATATCTCTTACAAACATAGATTCAAAATACTCAGTAAAATAAAAAAAAACAAATTCAACAGCACAATAAAGGATCACACACTGTGGCCAAGTAGGATATATCCCTGGATGCAAGGTTGATTCAACATATACAAGTCAGACAATAAAACATTACCGTACTAACAGAATGAAGGATAAAAACTACATGATTATCTCCATAGATGCAGAGAAGGCATTTGACAAAATCCAAAACCATTTTATGATGAATCTCAACTAATTAGGTATAGAATTCACTTACCTCGACACAATAAAGGCCGTAAATGAAAAGTCCACAGTGAGCATCATACTCCATGAAGAAAAATTGAAAGTTTTTCTTCTAAGATTTGGAAGAAAGCAAAGATATGTTGGCACTTCTATTCAACATAGTACTGGAAATCCTACCCAGATCAGTTAGGAAACAAAAAAACAAAAAGACATCAACTAATACAGGAACAGAAAGCCAAACACCACATGTTCTCACTCATAAGTGAGAGTTCACAATTTCACTTATCACACCACTTCCTCACACCAAAGTAAGAGTAACTATGTGAAATGATGGATATGCTAATTACCTTGATTGTGGTAATCATTTACAATAGATATATATATATCAAAACAGCACTCCCACTTATAAGTGGGAGTTAACAATGAGAACACCTGGACACAGGGAGGGGAATATCACACATTGGGGCCTGTTGTGAGATAGGGGACTAGGGGAGGGGTAGCATTAGGAGCAATACCTAATGTAGATGATGGGTTGTTGGGTGCAGCAAACCACTATGGCATGTGTATACCTACGTCACAAACCTGCACAGTCTGCACATGTATCCCAGAACTTAAAGTATAATAAAAAATTTG